GCAGCCAACCACGGAGCGTCGGGGGCAGGGCCGCAGCTGGGCGCAGCTGGGCGCGGAAGCGCAAGGCGGCGGCGTGTCCCATCCTTCCCCTCTCCGCCGCCGGCCTCGGCCAAGGCGCCAGCCTCAAGGAAGCGTCGGCTGCGGCGCCTCCCACCTCAGATTCGGTTTGCCGTCCTCTGCAATGGCCCGAGGTCGTGCGCCGCCGGATCCACAAACGGGCATTTCTTCAGCACGCACCGTCAAGTGCCTACTGTGCGCCAGGAACGCGAGTGACGGCGCCGGGCCGGGCCAGGGAACCAGCGCTTGACGGACACTTCCAGTAGTGCTCCCTAATTGGGGTCGGTTTTCACCGGCCTGGCTGATTGAGCCCTCCCTCGTGCAGACGTTCTGAGGACCTTTTGTGTGCCAGCTCGTGTCATGCGCCCGGGGAGGGGAAACGCTGAGTTTAACCCCCAGGAGCTCCTGTTTTCCTGAGAGAGAGGACAGTAAACTGATGAGAATGACCCTAGGAGTCACTATAAGATTTGGTGAGCACTTAATATCTGTTAGGCGCCGGGCCAGTAGCTAGACGCAGGATTTCATTTACTCTTAACCAATGATGTTGTCTCTTCAGAGACCCCTCCTGACCACCCTGCTCAAAGTTGCCCCCTCCTGCAGGCACTGTGACATCACCCTGTTTTGTCTTCACAGTGCTTGTCGTGGGCAATGAACTTGCAGTTCACATCTCCCCCACCAGAAGAAAAGCTTCCGAGGGTCCAGGCTGGCTTTGTTGGCAGCTGAGCCCCCACATCTGGATCAGAGTAGGGCACGTGGTAGAGCCTCAGTAAATGCTTGCTGGATGAAGGCTCAGCCACATGCTTTTATTACCTCAGGATATGACAGGAGCAGGGTTTTACTCCAGTCTAGCTGACGACAAAGTACACAATAATTGTTCTCTTAAATTCCATACAGTGTCATCAAATGGGAGCTGCCCTAGAGGCCATGGAAGGACCAAGAGGTGCCTGAGGGGAGGAGGGTGGGGCCAGTAAGAACCCTTCTAGAATGTCTTTCAGAGGCAACATCCTGTCCTGGTTCTCTGAGACTTTAAGCCCTGGATTCCTCAGCTGCTGGTTAACCCCAGTCACCTCAGGTCTGTTTCCTGAGTGTTCCTGTTATGGGCGGCCACTGTTCCCAGTCAGGCCCATGCTCCCTCCTTGCTTCACCTTTTCGCAGGAAAAAAAAGTCTGCTTTGATGGCAAGAGCAGATTGTAGTCCAAGCCCTGGTGAATTGTGGAGAAACTGGCTGGCCTTGCATCATTTATTAATATATTAATATACACATTTGGATTTTCAAACCAGGAGCTTAATTAAGGCCACTTGCCTTGGTGGGTACTGGATCTCAGATTTCAGGGACACACCCCCTTGAAGCTCTCTGCATATGTCCCAGACTTCCAAGCAGGCTGGGATGGCTGGTTACTGCTGGTGGCTGCTGCCTGGAGATCTTTGTGGCCAGCACGATGGGTGATGTACAAGTAGATGGCCTGAGATCATTCATTCATTCATTCATTCACTCACTCAATACATTTATTAAGCACCAATCTGGTCCAGGAACTGTTATAGGGAAATAGCAGGGAACATGACAGAGTCTCCTAGGAGGCTGGGGTCAGGGAAGGACCTGTTCAAGAAAGTGACATTTGAGCCAAGACCCAAAGGAAGTGAGGGAGCCAGTTAATGCAAATATCTGGGGGCAAATTGTTCCAAGTCAAGGGAACAGCAAGGACAAAGATCCTGAGGTAAGAACATGCTCGCCGTGTCCAGGAAGAGTAGGGAGGCCAGTGAGAGAGGAGTTAGGGGAGAGAGGGGGATGTGGGAGGAGGTAAGGTCAGAGAGGAAGGGAGAGGAGCAGATGGGGCAAGACCTTATTAGAGAGTCCAGTCAGTAGGTAGGTAAGTAGATATTGGTTTTTAATTAAAATGAGCTGAACAGTTTCTTCCCTCTAGGGTTTTGAATAGAGGAATCACATAACTTGATTTATACCTGAAAAATTTTATTTTCAATATGTAGGATGCTTTGAGAATAAAATTGTATATATTATTTCATATAAGATAATGGAATCATTATTTTTTGCCTAACTTCTTTCACTTAATGTTTTCAAGCTTTATCCATGTTGTAGCACCTCATTCCTTTTTATGGCTGAATAACATTCCATTGTATGGATAGACTACACTTTGTTTACACATTAAGTTAATGGACATTTGAGCTGTTTCCACTTTTGGGCTGTTTTAAATACTATGAACATTTGTAGCTCAAATGTACTTGGCTCAAATGTACGAGTTTTTGCGTGGACATATGTTTTCATTTCTCTCGGGTATATACATACCTAGCAGTGGAATTGCTGAGTCAAAGGGTAGCTATGTTTTTTTGAGGAACTGCCAGACTGTTTTCCATGGCAGCTGCGCCATTTTACATCCCTACCAGCAATGGACAAAGGTTCCAATTGCTTACATCCAAACCAGTATTTATTCCCACGTTTTTGGTTATACCATCCTAATGAATGTGAATTGATATCTCACTGTGGTTTTAATTTACATTTCTCTAGTGACTATTGAGTGAGCATCTTTTCATGTGCTAATTGGCCATTCATACATATTTTTTGGAGAAATATATTGTTAAATTGTAAGAGTTCTTCATATATTTTGTACACTAAACCCTTATCAGATATATGATTTGCAAATATTTTCTCATTTCATTGGTTGTCTTTTCACCTTTTGATAGAGTCCTTTGATACACAAAAATGTTTTTACTTTTGATGAAGTCCAATTTATTTTTTCTTTGTGCTTTAGGTGTCATATGTCCTCATTCTTTTTTACAACTTCATTGTATTCTACTGTGTGGCTGGACCACAATTCATTTAACTAGTTGTCTACTGATGGACAGAAACTTGGGTTGTTTCCTGTTTTGTGATGTTATAAACCTTTTACATAATATCATTTTGCATGTGAGGGTAGATGAATAAGACACTCCTGAAGAAGAATTGTTGTGACAAATGTTAAATGCTTTTGTCATTTTGGTAGATAAAGACAAATCTATCAGTAGATAGGTAAGTAGATATTGTGAATGGAATCATATAGTAATTTATACTCACCAGCTGTGTTCATTAATGCTGGCTTCCCACAGCCTTACCAACAAAGCGTGGCTACCAAAGTAAGTAAGATTAAAATTCAGTCTTTCAGTTCTACTAAGCACATTTCTAGTGCTCAGTAGTCACATGTGGCTGGTGGATAATGAGTTGGACAGTGCAGATAGAGAACATTTCCACTATTGAAGAAAGTTCTATTGGCAGTTCTTGTAAAACTTTTTACAGTGATCTTGACTTTACATTTTAATAGGATCCCTCTGGCTGCATGTGGGAAATGGACTCAGACCGTGCAGGAGACCAAGGAGGAGGTGACTGCAGTAGTCCAGGTAGGAGGGGATGGAGGGTCAGACCAGGATGACCGAGGAGATGGGGAAGTGTTTGATTCTGGGTGTGTTTTGAAGGTGGAGTGGCCAGGATTTTCTGTTTGATGAGATGTAAAAGAGAAGGCGGATGACTCCCAGGTTTCTGGCCTGAGTTACTGGAAGGATAGAGATGTCATTGACTGAGTTGGGGAAGAACAAGGTGAGAGCAAGTTTGGGGACGGGGGAATCCATTCTGTTTGGGGCAGATTATGTATGAAACGGATGTTGGACATCCCAAATAAAGATGTTGAGTGGGTATCAAGTTGTTTTTCTGGCCTAGAGAATGATACATGATTTTGATCACCAAGATGGAGCAAAGCCAGAAGGGAGGGAAGAGGCAGAATCACATGCTTAAGATGGGGGCAAAAGTCAAGGGCAGTTATGGGCAGTGGAAGGAGCTTAGCCTTTGAAGCTTGGAGGCTCACAGCTGTGTTTCTGAGCCTATGTAGGTCCTTTTTACTTCCGTTTCACAGGCTTGTTGCAAGGTTCACAGTGAGCACAGTGAGAGTTGGGATACCTGACAAGCAGGAGACACTGCATAGATCTTTGTTACTTCCCCTGTCTGTTAGTTACACTTGACTGGGAGGGTTGTGGGATGAGATCCACCCCTTCCCTGACATTCAAGGCCCTGCTGATCTGGGTCCGGCTGACTCTCAAGTTTCCTCTTTTGACATCTACTGTCAGGGGAGTGCAAGTGCAAACTCTCTCCAGAGAGTCATGTGGCTGGCCCCTTCTGCTCGGTCAGGTCTCTGTCCTCTAGCTCCTCTTAGCTCTGAGACTCAGGCTGCAAAGCTGCCCAACATAGACACCCCAAAGTGTCACAATGTTGGGGGATGAAGACCTCCATGACTTGCCTCAAGTCATGTTGAATGATTGCCCCATTCATTTACTTGCCAGATCTTTACTGAGACCTGCTGTGGGATAGATGCTGTGTAACATGCTTGCAACACAGCAGTGAATAAGACAGATGAGGTCCCTGCCCTCACAGTTGCAAGAGGGACAGAAAATAAATAGATAAAAAGATAATCTAGTCTACGGCCATGCCGGCCTGAATGTGCCCAAGCCTGGTTAGTACTTGGGCCTGCTTAGTACTGGTTAGTACTTGGATGGGAGACCACCTAGGAATACCAGGTGCTGTAGGCGTTAACAAAAAAAAAAAGTAATCTAATGTCAGGTAGGGACAACTGATGTGGGGAAATGAAATAGGGTGCAGAGATGGGTGGAGAATGGCAGGGAGTGCTTCATTAGATGGGGAAAAATGGAGGGAGTGATCGGCATAAGGGAAGCGAGCAGTAATGCAGGGAAGTGAGCAATAATGCTGGAGCACTTCCTGTGTGCCACGTCATGTTATAAGTTCTTCGAATTTTCACATCCCTCTCAAAAACAGTTGCTTAAAATAGCATTGACTTATTACTTCTCACAACTCTGTCGATTGGCTGGTGGTTCCTCTGCTAGTTTCACCTGGACTCATTCATGCAGCTTCATTCTAATTCCAGATGTGCTAGAAAGTCCAAGATGGCCTTATTCGTAAGTCCAGCAGTGGGTGATGATTGTTGGCTGGGGCATCTCAGTTCTGTTAGTGGTCTCTCATCTTCCAGAAGGCTGGAATGGCTTCCTTACATGGTGTTCTCAGGGTAACATCCAAGAGTCCTGGGCTCAGAAGTTTCATAAAGTCACTTCTTTGCATTTTATTGATCAAAGAAGTCAAAGACCAGCCTGGACCTGCCCCCCACTCATTCCTCATTGGCTCCCTTGCATCACATGCCCATTCCTGGACCAGTCACTAGCAGGGGAATAAGATTATCTTAGACTCATCGGGCCCTCCCAAGATCTGGGGTTGGGATCACTTCCCTGAGCCACCTGGGCTGCCTGGGGGAGGGGTGGACACTTGAAGAAAACTGCAGCAGGGGAGGGGCCGTTGTTAACCACTGTTAATATTAGGTGGAATTTCTTTCTAAGTATTTTATAGACTCGCATAAATGTAAAGGGTCTTTCTGCCTAATACATTTATACTGAGAATCCTTTTCCTGGAGACTCTTGGGACTGTGGCCTGAGTGGGGCCTGGATCCTGGGCACCATTGTGAAATGAGTTTTCCTTTTAATAGGGGCACATGGAAATAATAGGTTAAAACCATGTTTTAAAAACTAGAAAACAGATGATTTAAAAATAAATCCCTTTTAAATAATAACTTCTAAAATAATTTCAAATATATAGAAAAGTTGCAAGAATAGTACAATAAACTTCCATTTCTCCTTCACTTAGATCCCCTATAGCAAAATGTCAGCATAAATAAGCAATAATATCCACAAATCTGCTTTTAAGAATCTGGGCTTAGAAATCCTGCTCACAGGCTCTGTACATCTAGAGCAGCAGTTCTCAGCTGGGGATGATTTTGGCCCCAAGGAGGCATTTGGCAATGTCTGGAGACATTTGTGGTTGTCACAGTTGGGGTGGTGATGTGCTGCTGGCATCTTGTGGGTAGAAGCTAGGAATGCTGCCAAACATCCCACCGTGCACAGGACGGCCCCCCACACCGTGGTTCTCTGGCCCCAAATGTCAAGAAGGCCGTGGCTGAGAAACTCTGACCTTTAAGTGAATTGGAGAGAGACACCTCCCTCTATTGCAACTGGAGCACCCTGTGGGTCTACAATTCACCCCAGCGATTCTGTTTCTTCTCAGCTACCCTGGAAAACCCCACTCCTGTAGGCATAGGCACGCCCAGCCAACTCTGTTTTTGATCATTCCAAACTGGAACCAACCCACATGCCCCGTTAGGAGGAGACTGATAAAATAAAACAGTGTAGTCACGCTATGCCTGCTGCTGCTGTGCCTACTGCTCTTCCCTCGGCTGTTTGCTTCCCTGTAAAATGGGGCTGGAGAGGTGGGATTGGAAGGATGCCAATTATCTTGAGCCCAGCTGCTACTCTATGACTTATGGTCATATCTTATGACTCATGCCTGATAGATGCATTAGGGTTATGTGCTGACAAGTCTCCAGGCTTTTATTGACAGGAGGCCGCCTCAGAATGTCTCCCCATTGGAATCCAGGGTAGGGCCTCTGCTGAGTCACCTCTGGCTCAAGGTCTGGCTCATTTTAAAAGCAGCTTCCGTTTCCTTTGTGCCAGCTGTACACTAGGCTTAATGCTGAGTCTACACTGTAAATCTCATAACTCCTACGTGGATAAGCACACTTACTCTCTTGTCTGCATTTTATAAATGAGGAAGCTGAGGCTCAGAGTGGTTGTGACGCAGCTGGGATTCAAACTTAAGACGGGTCAAATTCCAAAGTTCACACTATTTCCAGTTTGGTGCTCAGAAAATATATGCATGGCAGAGAATGGACAATATATTCAGTGGTAATAGAACTCTCAGTTTTAGCAGAAAATATGTCAGCTATGTTAGCTAATGACTACTGTTCCCAGCCTCCCTTGCAGCGGTATAGGACATATGACTAATTTCGGCTAATAGAATGAGAGTGAAAGTGGCACAAAAGATTCTGATTTGTGCCCTTAAATAGGTTGAATTCTGTCTACTTCCTTTTTTTTACTTCCCACTGGCAGGGATGTAGATATGATGGCAGTGCTAGAGAAACTACCTTGGACCGTAAGATGGGAACTGCTGGTTGAAGATGGAAGAGCTATGAGATGGAAAGAGTCTGAGTCCCTGGCACCATAAAGCCACTATCCAAACCCAGACTGCTTTCCTTTAGATTGATGCGAGAGAGGAACATTAACTATTTTCTTGTATAGGAGACACTTATTATTTGAGCCTTTTTTATAGCATTGATCCTGTATCCCTACAATGCATTTATTAAATGAATGGATGGCTGATAGAATGACAGAGAGCGCCGTCAGATCCAGACCCACACACATATAAAAATTCACCAAGACCGAACTTGAGCATAAGTTAGAAGCATAGTCAAGTGCAGTGGAAAAATTCATAGCTGGAGGAGCCAGTTTCAAACGTGGCCCTTCTAGCTTGCTGTGTTTCCCTGTGCTCTCTCTGGTCTGCACACTCCCAGGTTGTAAACCAGGCTTAGAAGTTTATGGAATCTATGCAGTCTAAAGATGTTCATTGCGCTATATAATTCCACTTCTAGGAATCCATTCTCACGGAAATTTTAACCTCATCGCCCATGTGCGCAGGTGTAAGGTGATTAGATGAATTATGGCACGTTCGGGCTCTGGAGCACTAAGCTGCTGACTGTGGCCACGAGGAGTTCTCTGGTGACACTTGCTGGCACAAAATGATACTGCAGCCTAACAGCCAGGCCCTGGGAATTTTCAGAACAAGAGAAGTTCCAGGTAGCTGTGAGGATAGTTTGGGAAGCCACAGAGCAGGGAGAGATTTAGAAGGCAGGCTTGAGGCAAGGAGGGGTGGGCCTGGGCGAGGTTGAGAGCATTGGCCTGGATTCGAATTCCATCTTCACTACTTCCTAGCAGGATGAGCTTGGCAGGGTTGGGACTTTCTCTGAGCCTTTGTTTCTTCTTCTATAAAATGAGAACCCTGGGGTTCAATTCATAGATGTCTGGTGAGGAGGATTCAGTGAGAGAATTAATTCCTTCGACTGTTTATTGAACCAACACAGCACCTATGATGTTGGTGATTGAGAATCTCATCGAGGCACTAAGGCTATCTCAAGGCCTGAATCCTGCCCTTGTGGAGCTTACAGTTGTGTGTGTGTGTGTGTGGTGTGTGTATGTGTGTTGATGGGTATGATCCTTATCCCCACATGGCAGGTAGGGAAATTGAGGCCTCAGAGGGGAAGTAAATTGATGAAGTTTACACAGCTGACAAATGGTAGAGAGAGAACAAAACGAGGCCTGTCTGACTCTAGGGTCACCTCTTGATTCCCAGCACCCAGCTGCCTCTCCCCATCTGCAGGCTGCTGGGTTTTTATCTATAAGAAGGGGAAGGGGACAGAGAGTCCTGCTGGTCTGGCCACTCGCAGGTTTGCTCTCATATCCTTTCATCGTATCAATCACAATTTAATCAGGAAACCACTGAGCACATAAACAGAGAGACTTTCCAAAAGGGAAGTGGTTACAGAGATGATGGAGGCACCCAGAAGCCAAGCAAGAAACTGCAAAGAAGCTCAGAGATTTGCAGCAACAGAAAGCCATTGCCACCTCTAAGCTGGAGGGACCGAGGGAGCAGGAAAAGTTACAGGAGCCTGGGGCCTGGTCACTTAAGCCCAGTGGACTGTCTTGCAGGAGCTGGAGTCATGGAGGAGACTCAGTCGTTGATAGAGATGAGATATGGAAAGAACTTAACCACAACCTTAAAAAAGAATAGGAAAGAGGAGACTTCCCTATCAGCATTGTTAAAAGGCAATCATACACTATTATAATAAGAACAGTGGGGTGCTATTGCAAGGCAAAGCAGACCAGTGAGGCAAAGCAGTGGTGCTGGAGCAGCCCACAGCCCACCTGGGAAAGGAGGGCTTGTTCAGGGAGCAGTGGTGCTGGAGCAGCCCATGCATGTAAGGGAACTAAACACCCAATAAAGGCTGCCCCACAGCCCACCTGGGAAAGGAGGGCTTGTTCAGGAGATGGTGTTGGGAAACTAACCCTCCAAAAAACTGGATCCTTCACACTGCAAACACAGGTGGACTCTAGATGGATTAAGACTTCACATGAAGTGCAAACTTACAAAATGAGTAGAAGTTATATACACACAATGGAATACTATTCAGCCATAAAAAGGAATGAAATTCTAACACATGCTACAACGTGGATGGACCTTGAAAACATGCTGAGTGAAGTAAGCCAATCACAGAAGAGCAAATAGTATGTGATTCACTTATATGAGGTACCTAGAGTAGTCAGATTCATAGAGACAAAATAGATTGGAGGTCTCCAGGAACTGGGGGGAAGAGGAGGGTGTTATTGTTTAATGGGTACAGAGTTTCTGTTTGGGATGATGGCAAAGTTCTGGAAATGGATAGTAGTGATGGTTGCACAACACTGTGAATGTATTTAATGCCATTGAATTTTACCTTTAAAAATATCTAAAATGGTAAATTTTATGTTATTTGTATTTATCATGTAGTAGTGATGGTTGCGCAACACTGTGAATGTATTTAATGCCACTGAATTTTACCTTTAAAAATATTTAAAATGGTAAATTTTATGTTATTTGTATTTATCATAATAAAAAAAGCACCAATGTATAAAAGGCAAAAAACATTTAAAAAAATTATTTTGATTACATCAAAATGAAGGAATTCTGGCCAAAGGATACCATGGACAAAGCTAATAGACAGATATCAGAGTATCAAAATATTGCAATGTCTAAAATTGCAGGCCTTAGGATATACAAGAAACTTGCAAATAAGCAACAGAAAAGACTGCAATGGAAAAAAGCAGCAGGTGTGATGAGCAATTTACAGATGAGGGAAACCATGAGGGCATGAAGAAGGCTCAAACTTGTTAGCAAGAGGACACGCAAATGTAAATGACCAGGAGATATCCCTTTACACCTGGGAGACTGGTAAAGATGAAAAAGTTGGACAGCACCCAGATTTTGGTTTCAAAATCCATTCTCCACTAAAATGAACCAGGGCAGGGGTAAGAAAAGTAGCAATTGAGCCTGGAACATCTTACTGTGCCAGAAAATAAGGAAATACTCAAAGAATAATGGGGACATAGTGAAAGGACACAGGAGCCAGCTGAAAGGGGCTCACACTGGCCAAATCTGGGTCCATTTGAGCATCAAAACAAATAATGGTAGCGATGAATTTAGAAAGCATTAAATGAAATCCATAGGTCCATACTGATATAAATGAATAAAAAAATAAATGAGGCCATGGTGATTTTAAGATATATCCACAAATTCTTTGATATGCTTCTCTTCAAGAGGTGGAAGCAAATTCACTTCCTTTTGAGTGGGGACTGGACTTAGTGATTCAATTCCAATGAATAGAATATGGGAGAAATGCTATGTCTGAAAACTAGGTCATAAAAGGAATGTGCTTCCTTCTTGCTCTCTTCAACCCCTCTCTCTGGGGGAAGACAGATTCCCTGTCATGAGGACACTGGAACAGCCCTAAGAAGCGGCCCACGTTGTGAGCACTGAGCTGTCCGATACAATAGCCACTAGCCACAGGCGTTAGGCACTTGGTGATGCGCCTACTCCAAACTGGAATATGCTGTGTTAAATATATACTCAGTTTCAAAGACAGCTTGAAAAAAAGATGCCGAATATCTTGTTAATAACTTTTTTTATATTGAGAACATGTTGAAGTGAAAATATTATAGATATATTGGGTTAAATAAACTATATTACTAAAATGAACTTCGCCTGTATATTTTTCTACTGTTTAAACTGTGACCACCAGGAAATTTAAAACTAAGCATGTGGTTTTCATTTATGGCTCACATTATATAGTGATGCTTCAGCCCTAGTTGAGCTTTCAGATAACTGCAGCCCCAGCTTACACCCTGACTGCAACTTCTGAAAGACTCGAAGCCAGAACCTTGCAGCCAAAGCACTCTTGAATTCCTGACCCGTAAAAACAGTGAGAAGAAAATGATTATTATTTTAAGCTGCTAAGTTTTGGGATCATTTATTACATAGCAATAGATCGATTGAGGCAAGTATATGAATGGATGTTAAAATCAGTGGGTGAAAGCTGGAGGAAGACCAGGATATTTAAATAGTTTAAAAGTATCTCCCTACAAAGAGAAAAATACAAAGAGAAAAACAGTAACTTGACAGTGGTGAAACCTGACAGATGCCACCTTTACCATGTGATTAATATAAGCATCATCAGTAAAGGGACAAATGGCCTTCAGATGCCTCCTGATGGGAAGCCCGAGGAGGACACAAGACCACTTGGGTAAATGGCCTGAACTTTTCAAAAGTGTCAAGGTTATGCATGAGAAAGACTGAGGAACTGCTCCCAATTAAAGGAGACCAAAGAGATGGGGCAACTAAATGCAGAGTATGTTACAGATGCCAGGACACCTCACCCCTAACCACTTCAGCATGCATATCATTAGCTAGAGGTCAGTATTACATTCAGCGAAATGCACAAATCTTAAGTGTACTTTAGATTGTTTTTGACAAATGCATCTACCTGTGTTGTCCAAACTCCTTCCACGATATAGAACACGAAGTGGGTTGAACTGTGTCCCTCAAAAAGATATATTCAGGTCATAAACCTTGGTACTTGTAAATATGACCTCGTTTGGAAATGGGGTCTTTGCAGATGTAACCAAGTTAAGATGAGGTCAGACCGAATGGGCGGGGGGCCCTCAGTCCGATGACTGGTGCCTTTATAAGAGAAGGAGATGAAGATTTGGACACAGACACCTATGGCGGGAAGAGGGCCATGTGGAGATAGAGGCAGAGATTAGAATGACATACCTATAAGCCAAGGAACACCAAGGACCGCTGGCAGCTAGCAGTAGCTGGAAGAGGCAAGGAAGGGCTCTCCCCAAGAACCCTTGGAGGGAACATGGCCTTGATTTCAGACTTCTGGCCTCCAGAACTGTGAGAGAATAAATGTTTGTTGTTTTAAGCTGTTTAGTTTGTGGTACTTGGTTATGGCAGCCCTAGGAAACTAATACAGCATATTTACCACCCCCCCGCCAAAATAAAGTACTTTTGTGCTCCTGCCCAGCCAATCCTGCCCATCCCCCCAGCTGGGGGCAACCACTGTCCTGATATTTTCCATTATAGATTAATTTTGCTTATTCTAGAGCGTCATATAAATTGAATCATGCAGCATGTGTTATTTTGTGTCTGATATCTTTCACTTGGCACAAGATTTTGGAGAGTCATCCAGATCATTGCATCTATCAGTGGTTGGCACACCTATAATTAAAGTCAGTCGGCTGGAGGGAGAAGCAAATTTTGAAGTTGAGGAGAGGAGTGGGCAATGAGGATGGGAAATTTCTCTTCAAAGCTGGGCTGGGAGCGCCCTGCCCTGGGGTTTCTGACCTCTCAGGCCCACAACCTGCCCCGGCTTTCTCAGCTCGGGTAGCAGCTGGGGAGGTTGGAAGCTGGGCTCCATTGCTACCTGGTGGCAATTCTAGACAATGCAACCACAGGTGTCTGCATTGGGTCCAGCTGGGTGGGGAGACTGCGGGTCAGACAAGTGTGTATTTTCCTGGGTTGGGCCCCCAAATCACTGAGCACCTACTCAGCACCTGCATGATTCCTCTGTGTGTGTGTGTGTGTGTGTGTGTGTGTGTGTTATAGAGATGACCTAGATTGGGCTGATTTTCAGGGGCTCCCAGGAGAGGGAGATTACATAAAACTAACTCGAGTGGGCGTGCAGAGGAAGTGGAGAGTAATTTGACCTGGATATTCAGGGAAAGTTTCTCTGGGCTTTTCTTAGCTGGAGGTGGAAGGGAAGGGTGTTAGAGGCAGAGGGAACAGCATGAGCAAAGCTGTGGAGGCAGGACCATGTAGTGTATGGCTTTCTTAACTCAATAAGTTATACCTGTTTTCCCACACCTTCATCAACACTGTGTTATTCACATGAAAAAACTTTTAGCTAATGGCAGAGGTTTTCAAGACAGACAGCTCTACGGGGACACTGCTCTGCCATGCCTTCTTTCATGTCACAGTGCCACTGGGCGTATTTCCATGTTGACTTATGAAGATCTACCTTGTCTTTTTTTTTTTAAATGGTAAAATTCACGTAAAAATTACCATCTTACCTATATTAAAGTGGACAGTTCAGTGGCATTAAGTACACTTACATTGTTGTACAACCATCATCACGGTTATCTCTAGAACTTTTTCATCTTCCCAAACCGAAACTCTATATCCACCAAATGCTAACTCCCCATTCCTCCCTTCCCAGCCCCTGGCAACCACCATTCTGCTTTCTGTCTCTATAAGTTTGTTCTAGGCACCTCGTATAAGTGGAATCATACAGTATTTGTCCTTTCGTGACTGGCTTCTTCCACTCAGCATAATGACTTCATCCAGGTTGTAGCATGTGTCAGAATTTCCTTCTTTTTAAAGACTACATAATATTCCATTGTGTGGATAGACCACATTTTGTTTATCCCTTCATGCATCGACGGATACTTGGGTTGCTTCTACCTTTTGGCTCTTGTGCATAATGCTGCTATGAACATGGGTGTGCAAATAGCTATTGAAGATTCTGCTTTCAATTCTATTGTGTGTACACCTAGGAAATAGCTAGATCATATGGTAATTCTATTTTTAATTTTTCGAGGAACAACCATACTGTGGCCCTACCATGTTAGATTCCCATCAACAGCGCACAAGACTTGCAATTTCTGCATAGCTTCACCAACGCTTATTTTTTGTTTTTCTTTACTGTAGCCAACCTAGTGGGTGTGAGGTGGTCTCTTATTGTGGTTTTGATTTTTCATTTCCTTAATGATTACTGATATTGAGCATTTTTAAATGTGCTTATTGGCCATTCATTTTTCTTTGGAGAAATGTCTTTTTTAAGTCTTCTGCCCATTTTAAATCAGGGTTTCTACGGTCAAGTTGTAGGAGTTCTTTATATATTCTGGTTATTAACCTCTTATCAAATATATAACTTGCAAATATTTTCTCCCATTCTGCAGGCTGCGTTTCCACTCTGTTGATTTTTGTCCTTTGCTTCACAGTAGTTTTTAATTTTGATGTAATCTAATTTCCTGTTTTTTTTTTCTTCTCTCGGTTTCCAATGCTTTTGGTGTCATATACCTTGTCCCTTTAAATTGCTATGGAGTGGTCCATGATGTGGCTGTTCTAATAATTGAACCTATCAGACATCGTGAAGGTTCAACTTTCAACATAAATTCAGATTTTGACTATTTCTCCCCACCTCCATGGCCACCGCACTGGTGGAGTCCACTACCCTCTTCCTGCATGACCGCTGCTACCTCCTCACTGGGCTCCCTACTTCTGCCCTTACCACCAGTACTGTCCATTCCTTACATGCAGCCAGAGGGATTCTGTTCGAACCTAAGTCAAATCCTGTCCCTCCTCTGCTTAGAACTCTCCGTGGTTCCTGCTAACCCAGAGTGACAGTCAGCCAGTACAATGGCCCACAGAGCCCTGTGTGATATGACCGCCACTATTTCTATGAGAGAATTCCCTGCTACTCTTCCTATGCTCCATCCGTGGCAACTACATGGGCCAGGTATGCTCCTACCTCAGGGCCTTTGCACTTGCTGTTCTCCTGCCCAGCACACTCTCCCCACAGCAACCTGAATGGCCCCTTCCCTCGTCGCATTCGTGTTTTTGCTCAAATGTCACCTCTAGGAGGCCTCTCTTTTTATTTAATTAAATTAGACCACTCTAATTTAAAATTAAAATAAAACCCCCCAGCGCTCCCATCCCCCTTCTCTGCTGTATTTTTCTCCATGGTGCTTACCAGAATGTAACAAAATGCATACTTATACTTTTCTCATTTTGTTTATTGTTTGTCTTCCCCAAGGGGAATGTCAACTCCATGAGAAGAAGAATCGCTTCTGTCTTGTTCATGAATATGTCTCTAGGGCATGAGCCATAGTAGGTGCTGAAAAATATTTGCTGAATGACTAAGTGAAAGTGAGCACATTTTGTTGGACATTTTATTCCTTTCCTGCTCATGTCCTGCAAGCATCTATAATATCCACAGTGCTGACCTCTGTATCCCATAGCAAGGTACACAACAGGTCCGCATACAAAGATTCGTTTAAATCAGTCCTGCATTCCTAGAACCTGCCACATGGTGGCAGCATATGCTAAGGCAAAATTTGCTAGCCAGCCCTGCGCATCAAATTCCAGATCCCAGGACACTTGTCAGCAATTAAGGATCTAATCTCAGCTCCGTTAGGCAGAGGGGTAAAGTGAGGCCTCAAAGAGGAGACGTGGTGGGAAAAATCTCAGACATTTTAAGTCCAGCTCTTTTATCAGTTCATTGTGATCTTGGGGGAAGTCTTAACCCTCTCTGGGCCTGTTTGCCATCTGCTTACTTTGTGAGGTTTTTGTGACTTGCCTTTTGTGGGGATAAGGGGAGGTCTGATTCACTCCCATGTGCCTTGTCTGGCCAGTATGAAGGGAACAGCAGGCCCAGAATGCCTGAGAGAGGGGCTATTACCCTGATTTTATAGACCTGGGGCTGAGGTCTAAAGGGGACACCAGAGTGTCACATCCAGGGAGGGTACAGAGCAAAACCAAAAGTCTGACCTTTGCAGTCCCCCACTCCAAATCCCCTAGAGACAATCTCCATGGACCATCTCTCATAGGTCCCCTTTCTGCCTTAGTTTTTCCACCCACTGGCTGATTTCTAAGCCCCTCTGCAAACACCTTTATCACTCCCTTCAATGCAGAAACAATGGGACTTCCCTTGGGCAAGTCATGTTGGTTTTCGCCTCCCTAAAATAGGGTAAGGAGAAGCTGCAGGGACTAGCAGGAGGAATTGTGAAAGCGGTTTGGGGGCAGAGGAGGGCGTGTATTGGGTAGGAAAGTGTCTGTTCCCTCCACAGCCCTGCCTGGCTCCTGCCCACTACTCGCAGCCATGTGGGCCCAGCCCACAGCTTTTGGTTTTAAAAGAGAAGCTGGAAATTGGAATTTTGATGTGAAGTCTCTTGATTTTTAAATGTTGACAATAAATTCATTGAAAAAAGGAACAACGACAACAAAACAAAGCAAAACACCGTGGGGTCAAAGTGAAAGTGTCTATGGGTTGGATTTGGCCACTGACCACCAGTTTGAGACCCTTCCTAGTCTAGGTTCCTACAAATACCTAGGATGTAACTGAGAGAGATCATTATGGGTGGTATCAGGTGGGTCCTAATTTCTAGGCTCTTGCTGCCTGCAGAACCACTGGGGTGTGCTCCAGGCCTCTGGGCCATAGTGGGTGAGCTTCCATCAGCCCCATCCTCAGGAAAGGCTGAGCATTAATGGTGAAGCAGCAGGCAGGGCCTGTTGAGCAACAGCTTTGTAAAAACAAGGGCTTACATCACCTGAGCAGGCACTGCAACATCTCTGCAGGACACCTGGGGTGGCAATGAGGTGAGAACTGAATTTACTTTCATGCCAGAATGAGGAATCCTGGTCAGGGAAGGGTGGAAAGCAAGAGGCTCAGTGTTTGTTTATTTGGTGGGGGCAGTTCCATTCTAGAGGCTAGAAGGGCAAGTGATAGGGCTGAGTCCGATGCTTGGAGGCCAATCCCCAGGGTCTGGGTTGCCTTTTGAGTCACTGTGTGACCCTGGGCCACCATTCTCTGAGCCTCGTTTTTTGCCATTCAGAAAGCGAGGTTCACATTACCAGACTTGTTTTGATTTATTATAAACCCAAAGGGGAAGGTAAGGCTGGAAAGACTTTAATCCTTACTACCCCTTTAATGTGACCTTGAACAGGCATACTTAGCTCTGTTGGGCCTATTTCCTCATTTGTAAAGTGGAGCTTAATAATATGATCTGATTCCTATAAATAATCAGGAGGATTAAATTAGTTAATACATGCAAAGAGCTTAAAATGTGGTTCAGAGAGGGTGGAAGATTGGCTTGAGGACACACAGCAAATCCTCCAATTAGCTTCAGACTCCCCCAGGTCTCACTGCATCTCTCCAGAACCCTGAGAGTTGGGAGGAGGCTGCTGAGGCTCAGAGAGGGGAGCTATCTTACCTGAGGTCACACAGCCCAGTTAATGGGGGACCTCACCTTCTTCATCCATTGAGCATCTTCTGTGTGCCGGGCATGATTTTAGGCACTGGGGAAAACAAAATTCCTGCCCAGGTGGGGCTGACATGGGGAGGAGGCAGCAGGGGCAGAAAGCAAGATGATTAGGTAAAATAATTTTGGTAGTAATGAGAACGGGCAAGGAAATCAAGTAGGGGAATGTAAAAGGAGCAATTGAGGGCCTGGGACTTGCGATGGGGAGGTCAGGAAGGCCTTCTTCCCGGTGGTAACCTTTGCATGAGCCTTAGGCAGAGCTGGGGGAATAGTGTTCTTGGTCCAGAGGGAACAGCAAATGCATTCACTCACTGGTAAATTTTGGGCAGGCCCAGTTCAGGAGTTCCAGTATTCGAGGGACAGCCTTCATGGACCAAGCAGTCTGGGGGGAGGTGTCAAGACAACCAGGATAATGGTAGCTGGAGATAAGGGCTGGGAAGGAAGTTCATCAGCAAGTGGAGCAGAGAGGGTCTTTTGGAGGCGGTGGGCCTCAAGCTCAGCCCTAAGTGTCCCGCTTTGCATCTTGGAAGGCCTGGCTGTGGGGCCCTGGGTCCTCAGATCCCTCCCTGGTGCTGGGAAGGCCCAGAAAGCCAGCAGGCTGGGCCAGTGTTTCATTTGTTCCTCCCTACCCCCCATCCCCCAAGGGCACTCTCAGAGATGTCATTTCTACAGCTCTCTGGGTCACCCTAGCTCAGCAGATAACGTTGAAGGTTGAGCAATGCCTGCTTGCCCGCCAGGGCTGGGGGTCAGTGGGCCGGGGGTCAGCCCCAGGCAGGCTGGGAACTTCTGCCTAGACCTGAGTGACAGAGCAGTAGGCTCAGGGAGCTGCCCAAATGGCCTAGGAATGGGGCTTGAGAGGAAAAGGGGCTGCTTGAGTCCACTCAGCAGGGAGGGCCTCAGGCGTATGTTCAAATCCAGATGGGCCATGGCCTGTTTGCCCATCTGTGAACCAGGGGCAGCAAAAGCCTCCTCCTAGCAAGGTGAAAAGGTGAACCGTGGGTCCAAGCTTACACGCAGCGCACAGCAGGGACTTAGTAAAAATGAGGCAAGTCCCTTCTCTCTCCTCCACGGTCCCCAATGGGGCCTGGCTTGACCTCCTCCCCACCAGCTTCTGAAACAGGTATTGTGGCCTCAGGTTGGCACATAGGTCTTGGGGCGCCTGGAAAAGGGCTTTTCTTTTGAGACTAAAGGGGTACATGAGCCCATGTGATATTGGGTTGCTAGGCCCCCTCTGGTCCTCTTTGTACCCTCTGGGAGAGGCCCTTCTTTCTAATGTGCCTCTCAGAGTGGACTTAAAACTAAGCCTTATGTTTGGGTGTCTGTGGTGGAGACAGTAATACAACTAAAAGTAACAGTAACGACACCTTCATGTAAGCTCAGAGAAGTGAAATGACTTTCGCAAAGTCACACAGTGTGGCAGAGCAGAGTACCCCGCCCCCCCCCACCCTTCTGGGAGCCCAGGTCAGGGTAGGGTGGAGCTGGAGAAGACTCAGGTGTGGTCTAAGGAGGCGGGTAGGTGCGGTGGGTGGGGCGGTGGAGGGGGGGGCACGGCCTACCTAGGCAGAGGCCCCAGTGGAGCGCTTCCCTTTACCCGCCCGCCCACCCCCCAGGTCCTCCTGTTGGAGGTGGCTTTACGAGGGGAGTCGCAACAGGCATGGAATCCCCTCCTAAGAGCTGGGGATGGGGGCAAGTTTAGGAGCGAGGACGCGTCTTGGAGATGGGTCACCACTCCAGGAGACAGAGCTGGGGGGTGAGTTCTCCAGGTTCCCGCCTGGGGAGCAGCCCCTCTGTGGGGCGTGGGGACTGGACGCTGCGGGTCCTTAAGCCACCGCCTCCTCCAGCAGGGGGCGGGCCGCCGCCGTGTTTCGGGTGGGGGCAGGCGATAGCATTACCCCCTCCCCGGGTTCCCCCCCTTTCAGTACAGCCTCCAGCCCAGAGGGGGCGGTTCGGGGGCGGGGTCGCACCTCCCCTTCTCGCTTCCAATCCGGGGGCCGCCTGGTGGGAGTGGGCAGGGGGCATGAGGCCGCCCCCCCCTCGAGCCCTGGGACCCCCGAGGACGCGCTTCTAGTCTCTGGTCAGGTCACCGACCTCCCAGGGGTCTCAGGCGGCCACGGTGTAGCTGTGTCCCGGCGGCGGCGGGAGGGGCCGGGGCGGCCGCCAGGCGTGACGCAGCCGTTGCCATGGGCCGCCTTATAAATAACCGGGCTCAGGAGAAACTTTAGCGAGTCAGAGCCGCGCACGGGACCGGGAAGGGGACCCACTCGAGGGTCCAGCCGCCAGCCCCCGCACTAGTAGCGGCCACTCCGGCAGAGCAGCGGCAGAAGCGGCGGCAGCAGCAGCAGCAGCGACACAGCAGCGACAGTTCGCAGCCAGGAGGCCGCGCCACCTGCGGGCCGGCCGGAGCGGGCAGCGCCGAGCCCCTTCCCCGGGCACCCGCGTTCATGCAACGCCTGGTGGCCTGGGACCCAGCAATTC